CGCCCGCAATATCAATATCTGTACCTGACAGTTCCGAGGACCATCACGTAGATGTTGAAACTATTGATGATGACCCTAATGGAGATACGACTGAGGAAGAAGACATTCCTCCTACACCCGCATCTCACGATTCAGGATCATTTCGTCCTGATACGTCTCCTGTCTGGAATCCATTCGGCGTAGTGGGTACTGGGAACCGAAGGAAGACGAATAATAGTGCCAGCGCGTCGATGGTCACTCCTGGTATGCAGGTGCTGGAAAGATGGGTTTGACAGGGAAGAGCAAGCCTAAGGGTTCTAGTGACAATGGACGTGGTAGGGCTATGTTATCAGAGGTGCGGATGGAGAGCCTCTCACGAGCGAATTCGAAGTGAGCTCGTTATCAGGCACTCGTATGAGCTTGAGGATTTGTTCGAGACTGATGTTGGGCGGACTATGGACATCGATCAGAAGTCGTTGAGAGCAACCCACGTAATCATAACTTATCGATAGAGACCCATGTTCTAAGTCCTGTAATTACACTTGCTGACGGCGGTAAAGGCTTCCAACCACATGTTGTGAGTCTGGAATCAAATGTTCTGCATGCGATGATACAATACGGTACATACGATACAAAAAAAAGTGAATGAGAGGGGTGGCTGCGGGCCAAGAAAGGGCAGAGTTGTTAAATAGGTAGCAAAGAGGAAAGGAGAGCAACAACAGGGGGGGGGGGGGGCGAGAAGAAGACGAAATAATTAAGATAGCCGTACTCGAATTACAGTGCGAAGATCGTCATTACCAGGATCATTGAACTCGGGGCGCCTCTATTTGGATCTGATCCGTACTGCTGAAGACTTATCTTGGCCCCAACGCTACAAACTAAAAGCAATGTGGATATCGTGTCAAGGAAGGTGATAGAGACCTATATAGAAGTCGACATTCAGGTCTGATTAAGGTTAGGTTCTCTCGAGAGGTGGTAGGTTGTGTGTCCTTGATGCGGCACTTTCAGGGGGGATCGTGAGAGGTCGACGCCATGTCAATGCTGGAGAGAAAATGAAAGCTCCCACATACGTCTGAATAACCAATGACTCCCGCCATACAAGAGATGGAAGGTTAGACGTCGCATCGTTCTGCTCGACATTTAGCTGTTAACCTCCGTGATTTACGTCAACACCACAACGGACACATTTCTGCAGCCAACGAAAGTCAGAAGTGTTCACATTACATACATAGAGATCGAATTGACTCACTTTGTCACGGTCCAGGCTAGGCAATGTAAGTTTTTGCATTATGAGAATTCTCGTTGACGATGTCTCTAATGAATGCTTACCAAAGTCCGATGAGTCCACATGGGAAGCAACTAATGGCGAACCGGGGGAGACAGGAGATAGCAGTCATTTAGTTGCGACTCAATGAACTGGATAGGTCCTGATGATGGGGAGCTTACAAGATAGATGCCAATATCCCTGCCATCTTGTACGCAATAATGAATGACTGATCATTGTCGAGTTGAACACTGCTTAGTACTTACTCCATACGAAGTAGCATAATCATGATTACCCCGCGCGCACTTCGCTAAGACTGGCGCAAAAAAATGCAAAATGTCAAAACTTACGCCCGGGGTCTTCCCGTCTACGACCGATGGACTCACTGAGTGCTTGGTAATCTCTTCCTATTTTTACAAGATCTGCATCTGGCAAATCGAGAGGCATAGGTGGGGGGATGACCATTGGGCGCACATGCATCTCATACGCCTCGGGCTGAGTCGTGTATGTGTGTGTTGATGAACGCGGTGAAGGAGCTGTGACAGTGGACACCCTTGCCACAACCCCTGTTATGTCCGTGGGTGATGCCCGTCCTGAAGGCTCTGCCATTTCTCGCCCATACAAGGCGCTAGAGGGGGGCGGTGTAGGATAGGCGCCGAAATGGAGAGGAAGGGAGCTATTAGTTGGTGGAAGAGCAGGGAGAGAGGAGGCCGGAATTGGAGGTCTATAGGTATTCACAGAAGACGATTCAGGTTCGAGATAGGCATAGGCTGGCGGAGGAGGTTCGAGGGGAGTCGGGGTCGAACCTCCCAGCCTTCCAGGAGCCGAGGAAGAAGGCACCACAGTCAGATTCTTTTCTGGTGTGTCTATGATCATTTGAAGTCACCCAGTCAGGAGAGGGGACCAACTGGTGAGGTGTGGACTAGACCGAGAGGGTGAAAAGCAACGGGACGATGGGATGAGAACACAGCCCTAATTGGTATCGGGAATTCAATGCCGAATTGAATTGTCGGATACAAATTATCAGCGCTTACCCTTGGTCTTGACACACACATATCTGCTCCTGAACATATACCCCTTGCGTTCTCATGCGTTATCTCCCCCCACTACTACTTGATTTTCGTTATCTTGTAATTTTCCATCTTGCCTATGTACGTATATTTAGTACACATACACCATCGTTCAATATCGTTACATACGGTATTATCCACAGAATCCGAACGTACCGCCCTCATCTTCAACTCGCGGCTTCACTTTGAAACAACTTGAGTTGGTTTTGACCTCGCGAAGATGCACCCTACTTGCGGCGGAATTAAAGTGCGCTTGCGTGACTCACGATTTCTTTTTGATTCATTGTCAACTCGGTGACCGTCGTGAAGCCTCAAGTGACTCTCAACCAGGTTGCGCAGTTCTCAGCATCTGATTGGCCGTGTTGTGATTGTGATTGTGATTGGGAACTGCGGGACTGCGCCCGGGGTTTTCCCTTTGCTGTGGAACTGCGCCGCTCGTACTATGTAAAAAGTTGATCCATTTTTTCCATTTTCACGTAATTTCAACGCGATCCTTGACGTTTTACATACTCAACGTCCTTATGTAACACCGCCACTCGGGAGCGTCAACTCAATTTTTAATTACGGCAGTTATCACACAACTATGTACCTTATTTGTATATACATATGACTCATCCTGAGGTCTTTGTCTGCTTCCCGAGGTGTTCCTTATCCAGTCAACGTACGATTGTGCGCTGGGTCACAGCCTATCTCACGCTATTGCATGCTATATAGTAGATTGTCTTCAGCGAATTTTGGCGGCTTTCCCTCAAAACTCTGGTGACAGCCCCTTGTCAAAGGGCTGATTAGGGATCCGTCACCCATGCTGCGTTGACTGGTGGATGTCCACTTGGTGAAGTACCCCAAGTCACTTGCTGAAGGCTGTACATCGAGTGGTCTGAACCCCAGCTGAGCGGCAAACCACTCAGTCTGCTCGGGATGCCCCGTGACCTAAGGAGGGTTGGTGCTGTTTGGCCGGTGTGTGGGCACTCTTGATTCGTCTTTGAGTGCGCCGCTCCAGGTGTGCAGAACGAGGCTCTTGGGGATGGCTTTTTTTTTTTTTTCCTGTTTGTTATATCCTGGCGCAGTCTCCGTATGGAAACTAGCCACCATTTGCAATTTAATTTCTCAATCACATGACCGCTTTGTGCTCCAGCCCTTCGCCCCAATACATGCCATGGATGTTATCACCGCCCAGTTCATCAGCCTCAGCATCCATAACTCAGACAATCAAGAAACTATACATGGTGGACAGTTGACAGAACAACAAAAGGCATATATCCTCAAGCTCCAGAGCGTACGTTTTGTCTGAGGTAGCTGAGGTAGTCTAGATTGTGCTGATCCACATCTTGGTAATAGCACCTTACGAAAGAGCACTTGCTTGCCCACGAGCCATGGTCCGGTCATCGGATTCCTCCCGAGTACATCCAGAGCAGGTTCAGCGACCCTCCCGTCATGTTTTTTGGTATTGGCGTCCAGCTAACTACCGAGGACTTGCTTCCCATTGCCCGGACTCTCAATGCACCTATCTCTATCTGTTCCTCAGGAGATAAACTGATACAACTCCTGTCCCTCGTTAGGGACATTCGTCGCACTATTCGTAAGGGGCTCACGTCACATAGGCGAATCGAATCCTGGGAAATCATGTCACCCAGCACGAATATGACGGTAGTGATATGCATAACCGACAATAGCTTGGACAGATTGTCTCACAAGCCTCTGGATGTGGATGATGAGACCCGTCTTCGCACCATCAAGTGGGAAAAACTGCAGATCTCCGCGGAGGCTCTGCATAATCTGACGGGAAGGGAGCCGAAGTGGTACATAGGCGGTATTGGCCACAATATCGAGTGGGATTGTCGCACTGGCCATCACCTGTTTGGCCTGAAGATGTGTTGAAGCCATGAAGTCATTGCAGTGCTGGTTCCCCTTCATGATTCGTTCGCCTTTCCTTTCCTCAGGGCAGTTCGAGCGTGTTCATTCCTTCCTTCCTTAATATGGTAGTCTCTTCCTCTTGTTCTCCGTTTAGCACTCCCTTGCATTCGAGTTTCCAGCCTTTCGCAAGGCGCTCTCCGTTACGGTTACCCTAGACTGACAGAGAGCTGTTGTTGCGCTTGATTTGTTCTAGACACTTTTCTCACTGCCATCAGTTTTAAATCGAATTAATTGTTTCAACGCGTAATGGGACTCGCTAGTGGGATATGGTCGATGGCAAGTGGTGAAGCACCGTTGCGCACATTGTGCATTGAATGTCCCACCACTGAGCTCGGCGTGCTGCATGTGCTTTAGGTGGGAGCTAAGGAGAAATCTGAAACGGAGGACGCGTTCAACGTGAAGACAACATTTTGCATCATGGATAATGTACGTGTCGGTAAAACCCATCTGCACGAGTCCTTAAGTTACCCAAAATGTGGAATAAAGGAGGTCCAAGAAAGGGTCCGGTACAGGTCTGAAGGGGGAGAACGGAGGGAAGAAAATGCAATAGCAAGGAGGGTAAATCTGGCAAGTGCATAAGAACACGCGCCAATGTAGAACACCCATTTTGAAACAGAGGCGATGTAACGGTCCAGTAATCCTGAGCTTACAATGAGGACCGGGACTGCTGCAACGTACACTGCAGAAATTCGCCAGAGCATCATCTCCACACGTGTTGGGAAGGAGAAAAACCATGCAAGACAATGTATTCCGCCGAAGATTATGCCGGCGACCATAAAGATTCCGTCGACGCGCGCCTCATTACCCCTTGCTCTCGGGAAAGCAGGAGATCCTTCATCCCCCGTTTGAGAAGGCTGATTGTTATTGCTTATGGGAGCTGAAGGAGGCTGATTGCCATTGCTGATAGAAGCGGAAGGGCGGCGATTCAGGACTTCAGGAGGGGATTGATTGCCATTGGCTCCGGAAGTGGAAGGATGAGGCCCCTTTGTCACATGGATCGGGAACCGAACGTCGAGGGGTTTGTGCCGCCACAGCATGGATACCGGAACGTTTAGCACCGCGTATGCAAGGGCTGTCGCTTCAAGTTGCGATCTGTGTAGATGGCTGATCCATCGTCCTACATATTGGGCTATGAACCACACTAGTTGGATGGTCGCGAAGGACTTGGTAAACAGGTCCGACTTGCTTTTATCAAGGATTTGTCGCTTTGTCATCACGACGCGCCATTGATCCCCCGGGCCCGAATTCTCTATTATGCCACGGTACTGCTTAAACAAGGTCAAGGGATCGTCCTCGTTCTCCGGAATCACTGGTTTACATTTGGATGGGTCAAAGAACCCTCCCATAACAACAAAATACGAATGAGTCAGTGTCCATCCTTGTGAAAGATAAACAGGTCAGTAGGCCCAATGCGAATTGAAAATTGCTGATATTCGGTGCGCACCTTCAATCAACTTGCATTTTTCCGACATTCTCGACGCATTTAAGTATTCTTCCCATGCGTCATAAGTAACAATCTCCGGTGAAATCAGCGAAACTATCGCATAGCCAATACGGTCTGATCCAGTTTCCTGGGAGGCACGTCGCCGCTCCGGAACATTTGGGTGGGCGGCTAGCCATACACAAGCAAATACAGTTAGCAGGCAGCCGTACACCAGTCCCCACATGGTTCGACAGTTACGGATATGAGTACAAGCTTCGGACACATCCAACGAAGCACCAGTGATATAAAGAGGAAGGGTAGGCGCACCATAGACGCATCGTATCAGTACGAAGCCGATGAGATTCATCGCCATTTTGGGGGGGATGGAGATGAGGGCGCGTCGAAGGTGCGCGGTCTCAATCTGTGAGCTTTATAGTGTAGCGGCATTAGACGATCATGCGCCATCGCCCAACACCTTCCATGAATGGACGAGCGCTTGAAGATCAAACGCAACGTCTTTAGAGAATTGTTGTTGGGGCAGTGAGAGCTTGACGACGAAAGGCACTGCTAGAAGTACTTAGCGCGAGACGGCAAATCGCTCAGACCTAGATTGGCAAGGACAAGGACATTAATGATTAACATGTTCGGAACCCCTTTACTGTGATTGCGGAGGAGTCTTTTGACGATAAAAAGTCCACAGAGTCAATGATCGCCTGTAAGTCTCGAATAAGTGAGGACGAAAGACGAACAAAGGAGGTTGACTGCCAAACATAGTTGAATGGAATTGTAGCAGAGCGAAACGAGGGTTAGGACTTGAGAGCTTCAAAATTCAAAAGCTGCGCTAGATGAATGACGAGGGCAGTGCTGCTCCACAGCCTTTTCCAACACCCGAAAACTGCTGAGCGCCCATTGTTTGCAAATTGGACACGGGCAACAATATTGGCCGCGGGGCACCAATATAACTCCTCCACACCCCCCTTTGCCGTTCAGCATGAGGAATCAGCGTATGTATTCAGCCTGTGCCAGGTTCTACTGGAGCAACCTGGGCACGCACACCCTCAGAGTCGCGCATTTCACCCAATCCACTTGCAGACAGACTCGGCCTAGTTTGTTGTCGCCCCGTGGACTTGCTGTGCAGTGCGGGATTTTAATTACGGAGGCACCTTTGGACTTGGGGTCACTGTCTGATTTGTCCAAGAATTATTCTATTCCACAAGTGTGGAGTCTTGTCTTTACGTACGGATATAGGTCAGTTTCCGAAGAACGTGACCCATTTCCGTGATCACTTCCGTCGCGTTCCCGGAATTCGTGGTGGCTCTTCCCCTTGCAACTACACAATGGTCCTGTCAAGGTAGACTCTTGGAGGGATTCGGCCAATGTTAGGCCAATGTTGACGCAGAGGACCTGCTTTGGAAATTGAATTTCCTGACTGCGCGTCCCTATCTAATTTATGGGCCCAGCCGTAAGCGAGTCTAGCTTCGTTCTTAAGGCAGCCATTGCAGTTCATCAACTGGATCCCCCGCAACTTGGTCGAGACGGTTCTTTCGCTGTCCGAATAGGCACCGCTTTGGTTGTTTGACCTGCCTTGCAGAAACCACGGCTCGCGAAGCGCTTGCACTTCCCGGTGTCGCTACATAAAGCCCCTATATCGACACTTCATGTCCCCACTCTAATGGCAACCCCTCTCATCAGTTTTGTCCTCGCCTGGGAAAGCGTTTACGCTGCGCCAGCCTCGCCCTACTCCCCGCTTAATGCCACCGAATTCTCGTTCAACACTTCAGAGACTTGCTTTGATATCCGGCACTGCCGGACGCCATTCGGGTTGGTCTCCAGCTGCCTCTTGACCGTATTTGCGTGTGTGTGGACTGCGGTTCACCCCCATCTGCCCAGCCAGACGATAACCCTTTTTTGGCACCTTAAATCAAATCGAGCGGGCTTAATGATATTTTCTCTCGTATCTCCGGAGTTTGTTGTGTTTACGGCATGGTTAGAATTCTGCGATGCTTGGAGACTGTCGAAAAAATGCGAAACGATTCAAGGTGTGCTCTTGACATTCCATGGGACGGGACTGCCTGTTTACTTCTCTCAAGGGTGGACACTTACCCATTCTTATTTTACAATTATGGGTGGCTTTACCGACGGAGGGGATGCAATCACTGATCCATCCGACTTTGGTGATTACCCAGGAATAGTCAAGCCGGTTGGCCACGGCACTGATCGACAAGTCGCGGTGACGAAACAAGAAATCCTTGACAAAAGCAAAGGGGATTTCTTCACCAAGTCCATTGTCATCCTTCAGTTACTATGGTTCACCTGTCAGTATGTTGGGCGATGGGCGAGTCATCTGCCCAGGTCACAACTCGAAGTGATGACTCTGGCCTACACCGCCCTAACCATCATAGTTTGTGCCTTATGGTGGCATAAACCCCTCAACCTTCACTTCCCAATCCAAGTAACGAAAGAATCTCATCAACCCCCACCTACACAGGTTGATCAAATGCATCCGGCCCCCCTCGCAGCGAAGATCGTGGAAATAGACCCCCATTGGATCTTTTTAGTCACCGGACTAATCTTCGGAGGAATTCATTGTCTTGCTTGGTCATTTTCATTTCCGACAAGCGGGGAGACACAGTTGTGGCGTAATGGCGCAATAATGATAACAGTAGCCCCTCCCATTTCAACTATTTACACTTTTACTTCCCGCCGCCAACATGGGCTCGGGATACTCGGCGCGTTGAGTTACCGTATGTTCATTTACGGATCGTATTATCTGGTTGCTCGGGTTATCCTCCTTGTCGTTACATTCACCTCTTTGCGTTCGCCTCCCCCGGCTCTATACCAAACCCCGCAGTGGTCTTCTATCATTCCGCATTTTGGGTAGGGGAGTTGTAGATTTATGTGTTCCATTGCTTGGTATCATCGGAATTTTTCTTTCCCTCCGAGAAAATCCCTACCTGGGAGCTGCCCAGCAGATGTGACAACGACATCTAAATATTATTCACTCTCCTGGACGTACTTCCCCGTTGCGATCCGGAAGTAGAGGCTGGGATCCTGCCTATGTTGGGACGCGGTTCACGTTACAATGTTGCTTGCTGAGCTGCTGCTGCAGGAATACAATGTGTTAGATTACTTAGCGTCTAGTCCGCTGCTGCGCTCACCTTTTTTAGTACATTGAATTCTCCGACTGCGTGTCTCTTATCTGTGCGGCTGGCTGGAAGCTCGCCTAACTTCTTTCTTACCGTAGATATTGCAGTTTATCAACTGGAGCCCTCGCAACTTGGTTGAACTTCCCAACGACGGCTTCTCCCCTGTCTGAATAGGCGCAATTTTGATTGTTTGGCCTGCATTGCAGAAACGGCAGTTCGCCAAGCGGGTGCACTGCCTGGTGTCCCTGCACTCAGCATAAAATCCCTAGGCTGGCACTTCATGTCCCCGCTCTATGGCAACCCTTCTCACCAGTTTCTTCCTCACCTGGAAAAGCGTTTATGCTGCGCCAGCCTCTCCCTACTCCCCGCTTAATGCCACCGGATCCTCGTTCAACATTTCAGAGACCTGCGTTGATATTCGCAACTGCCGGACGCAATTCGAGCTGGTCTCTAGTTGCCTCCTGACTGTATTTGCGTGTGTGTGGACTGCGGTTCACCCCCATCTGCCCAGTCAAACAATAACCCTTTTTTGGCACCTTAATGGTATTGTCTCTCTTATCTCCGGAATTTGTTGTTTTTACAGCATGGGTGGAATTCTGCGATGCTTGGAGACTGTCGAAAAAATGCGGAATGATTGAAGGTGTGCTCTGACTTTCCGAGGGATGGGTCTATCTGTTTACTTTTCTTAAGGGTGGACACTTACCCATTCTTGTTTTACAATTATGGGCGGCTTTGCCGACGGAGGGGATGCAATCACTGATCCGTCCGACTTTGGTGATTACCCAGGAATAGTCAAGCCGGTTGGCCACGGCACTGGTCGACAAGTCGCGGTGACGAAACAAGAAATCCTTGACAAAAGTAAAGGGGATTTCTTCACCAAGTCCATTGTCATCCTTCAGTTACTATGGTTCACCTGTCAGTATGTTGAACGGTGGGCGGGCCATCTGCCCAAATCACAACTTGAAGTGATGACTGTGGCCTACGCTGTCCTAACCATCCTAGTTTGTGCCTTGTGGTGGCATAAACCCCTTAACGTTCACTTCCCAATCCAAGTAACGAGACAATCTCATCATCATCCCCTGACTCCCGAAGCCGATCAAACACGTCCGGCCCACCTTGCAGCGAAGATCATGGAAATAGACCCCCATTGGATATTTTTGGTCACTGGCACGATCTTCGGAGGAATTCACTGTCTTGCCTGGTCATTCTCGTTTCCGACAACGGGGGAGAACCGTGCATGGTGGACTTTCGCAGTAAATATAGCAGCAGGTCCCGCCATCTTGTGTGTTTCCATGACGATGGCTAAGACGAATAATATTCCCTCTTCTGCTTCCAACCGCCCACACGCGCTTGGGATGCTCAGCGCATTGAGTCACCGTCTGTTCTGACACACGTCGTGGTATCTGATTTCTCGGGTTGGTCTCCTTATCATTACATTCACCTCTTTGCGTTCGCCTCCCCCGGGCCTATATCAAACCCCAAAGTGGTCCTCTATCATTCCGCATTTTGGGTAGGGAAGTTGCGGGTCATGTGTGTCACTGTGTTTGCATTCATCAAAATCGTTCCCTTTCCTTCTGAAAAATCCCCGGCCCACACTCCACCTGGGGCACAGGTCCTTTTCCTCAATGCGATGCGTACCACTGACGTCCCATAACACTCTGTGACTCCTTACTCCCTTCGGCTTAACCACACCACTTACAATCGCACCAACCAATTCGTTCATGAATTATGGCGTACTAAGGAATGAATGTGGTGATGGATCCAAACAGCACCCACTTCGACTGCTTGCCAAACCTGTGTGTCATTCTGTGGGCCATGCGGCAGCCATGGAACGTGAATCTGCACAGCCTAAAAGCTGCCCACCTATTCTTTATCACGAGTTTGTGGCTGATACTTGAAGGTGCGATTATCGATTCATACTGAGCCGTGTGCCTATCCAATACGTGCATACAAAGGACCATGGTGGGATTCCTTGCCAGCACACATCCCGCTACAACAAACGTCCTAGAATACGTGTACGCCAAATCCACACGCAGGTGCTGGGAAAACTCCACCTAGCCATGGAAGAGCGGTGTCTACCTATCAAACGAAGAACCGAACGAGCTGCGACTGAGTGTAGCGCCAAAGTCTACAAGTGAGCAAATGTATGCAACCGAGCATATAGGTGTTCAAATTTCAATGGATAATTGATTAGAAAGTGCCGGCGGAGAACGGTCACCATGTCATCTCACTGTCCATGATGGTTCACTGCTTCCACTCGCCCCTTGAATGTATCCTTCTGTGCCACATCCACAGCGACGGTAGGTGTGACAGAAAATCAAGTGTAATTCACTCCCAAAGCCCAGATGTGCAAATAAGTAGCATCGATCAAAAGCCACTGGCGGGTGGTGCTGGCTGGTCAGGGCAGATAATGGTAATATCATTGACCGAGAGAACGCAGCATAATCGGCACGAATGAGTGACAATGCCAGTGATGAATCTCGATCCTCTGCCAAGTTACGACCTCCCGCTGCCGTCCCATACCTCGTACTCAGACACCGCCCATACCTTCGCTCCGAGATTCCATCATGGTTCCGACCTCGGACTTTGACTCCACCTTGGCTGACAAAAGACACCACCCCACCCTGACCCATTCATAGTATGCCTGACTAGTGTAGTTTGTGAGAGGAACCAGCGGTTGGGCACTAAAATTGTAGGTACAAGGCAAAGGGTGACGTTCTTGCCCCTTTACAAGCACCGTCCCAAAATAGTCACCTGAATGCTCGGAAGGTACGCATCCGAAAGCCCTGAGTAGAGCCAGGTGCAGAAAAGTAGTAGAGCCAATGATCGGAACCCCCCTTTCCGCCAAGGCTAGAAGAATAGTTGGGACAACGATGACCTATCCGGCAGTTGAGGGACATGAACAAATACCATGTAGTTTGCAAGAAAGGATGTTAAGAACCGCTGCCATTCCTTCAATCAACACAGATATGACTATCACCAATGGAGCAAAGGGGGAAATTGTCAGAATGTGGGCAGATCCACGCGAAGTCATAGAACCAATGGAGGGGGGACATAAGAAGCGAAATACCCACCGAGCTGCATGTTAGTCAATATGGAATGATATCATGGACCAGAAATAGAAGACATAGGATGTACCCCTGTTCCCGGTCACACGGACCTTCGAGAATATCATGCAAAAGGGAGAAAAAAAGAGTGTGCAATATCAACAAGTGATATCAGATTTGGCACATGCATTCACGGACTACCGCGCGCAAGGGCAGACGATCGAGTATTTATGGGCAGATATCGGAACACTACCAAGGGGAGCCTCGACACTCTATCACGGGCAAGAGGCAAGGAAAATACCTGCACAGCAGTGTCACTCTCCACCTAGTGAATTACGTAGTTTGTGCCGCTTGTGCTTACGTGGTCGACTCTTCTGTGGTTTGGACAGTCTCAATTCCCATCCTTCCGTTGTATCCTCGGCTAGGAATTGATATAACACTGTCTCTATTCCACGACAATGTAACCGCAATGCAAATTCGTTCCATTGTGTTCGAACTGCATGACACGCTGTCACCAATACCGCTTCACACCAGGGAGGTTCTTCTGCATGGGTTTTGGGGCAGTTTGGCGTTCCTAACACGATGTCTTGTACCATAACTTGCATGTACATAGCGTCCCCCTCCCCCTCGTGTACCATACTTAATTTCGTTGTACATAACTTCCGATGCTGATTCCTCTGATGTACCATTTGTTCACTGTACATATCATTCAATGCACTTCCGCGTCATCCTTCATTCTTCCGTGAATGCTGTGCAGGTCGTTGCGATGCGAAGCACGCCATGCAAAGTATTGGAGGAAGAGGACAAGCGGCTGAAAGAACTAAACAGGACGACAAAAGTCGAGTGGGAGCAAAAGATGGTGGAAGGAGGCAGCTGGGGGAGATAACGAGAGAATAACCAGATGGATAAGAGTCGAAGCACCATACCGACGGTGACTTATGTAATAGTTGGCACTTATGCAGCGTGACCCCCCGTATGGGCGACTCACCCGTTCTGGGTTCCCAATCCTAAGGCAAATGTTGCTGACTGCAAGCAGATCTATTCCTTTTCGGTCTGTATCCTTAATGACAGATTCGCCCCATCCCCATATGGGGCTTGTGAGCTTGGCCAGATAGTGGCCTGCATCACACGACGTCAGAGGGGTCGTGTTCGGGCTGCTTTGAAACGCAATAACGAGACAGTTGAAAGGTTAAAATAGGGAAATGGCGGAAGAAAGTGATGAGAGGAATGGAATGAGGACCTCTTGCATGGGCATTCAGTCCACGCTATGGAGTGCGGGAAAACCGAGGAAAATACAAATCGCTTGACACCAAAGATGCTACAGTTGAATGAAATGATTCGGAAGTCACAGGGAGCAAGATAAGCGAGGGTCAGGTGGGCACCTTGCACCTGGATGCCGCTTTGCAAAGGGAAATTCATCTTCAAAGGGGTCAGGGATGGTAACCCAGTCTCCAACTATCAACCCATCATCGGCCAGCTGCTTAATGGCTTCTTCATCTTCAGGCAACTTCATTTGCATGGGCGTGAAGTTGTCCACGTTTCGTTCTTGACATAGGTTACACGACGAACGAAAAGACATACAGATTGGCCATAGTCTTCCTTTGTCATCTAGAGGCAAAGTTGAGAAGTAGGAGGGAATGGGGAAAAGAACGATATTTACCTTGGGCCAAGCGACTTGGATAACGGTCTCAGGGCTGAACATCGCTGGGGTCCCTAAGCGTTTACGCTGGTCAAGGACTGACACGACATCCAGACGAACCACAAAAGTCCAGGGGAATCAATGACCTCTGGATGTGCCTTCCTCCACTCCTTGACAGCAGACGGAGTGATGATCCAACCAGATACTTTAAACATCTGTGCGTTGATGGCAAACAAACCACGCAAACAATCATAAGCAGAATGGTGGCTCATAATAAACAGAACCCTCAGGTCTACTCCACGACCCCGCTCCAATGGCGGCCACCTTGTTCACCATTGCATTTGCCGGAATTGCCCACGCGGCATCTATCCCGAACCTACCCGGGCCTCTTCCCCAGAATACAACCAATTTCTCGCTCAATACATCAGATGTGTGCGATAACCTTCGACATCGCCGGACGATGTGGAGTCTCGTATACGGTTGTCTCCTAACTATCTTCGCCTGCGTCCGGACCGCTGTACACCCCCAGGTGCCCCAAGCTACTTGGGACGCTTTATCATCTCGGATATTCATGGTGGCGGTTGTATTCTTTGCGCCAGAAACGACCCATTAGTGCAGCATGGAAAGAATTTCGGGCAGCTTGGAGAATATCGAAAAGTTGTCAAGGCACTGTCGAAGGTGTGCGCGCACCATACATATGTGTTCATTGCATTGAGTCAAATGAAGCCTGATCTATATTTCGTTGTTATGAATGGTTTCTTCGACACCTCCGCGCAAAAATCGGTCATTCCCGGAGAATATGACGAATCCTCTCTTTCCTCGAGTACTACCCTGGCATCATCGAGAAATCAGGGGATTGTAGAAGAGTAGTAATGACCCGGGACGAAATACTTGACAGAAGCAAAGAACCCTTTCGCTAAATTTATCGTTGTCACCCAGCTACTATGGTTTGTAGCCCATTTGCACAGGTCACGACTGGAAGCGATTATGCTTGCATATGGGGTCCTTAGCATCATTGTGTATGGTGGGACAAGCCTCTCAACATCCGTTTTCCAGCGCGTGTGACAAAGGGGGCCCGTTCCGATACTACCGGTACCGCCCCCAGCCCCGAAGCCAAGGTCGAGCAAGACACACCCCAAGCGAAGAACCAGCCAGATTCAACCCCTCCCCCAACGGAGACTATGCCATCAAAACAGCAGTACTTCGCGTTTGTCCTCTTCAGTGGGCACCATTGTTTGGCGTGGTCATTCTAATTTTCGGGGGACTGGGATAGAAATTTGTGGCGTCCAGGCGCAGTGTTTATTGCAGTGACCCCTGTGCCTTTTGTATGGGCCATAAAAGAAGCGGACAAAAGGAATCGTGTTGCCACTGTCTGCTACCTCCTTTCTTTTTCGTACGGCGCTTGCTCAGGGTAACTTGCTTACTTGACCCTTTCGAGCTTCAGTTCTCTTCTCCAAGGACAAGTCTTTCTCGGATTTCTTGGCGATGGGGGCTCAAGGCCACTTTGCTCAACTCAGATTTTCAATTTGAACAACCTCCTACTCCAACAAACGATCGCCTCCACATTATTCATATGGCCTTGTTGGTACATTTTGCAAGGAAGTTCTTTATGTGCGTCACCATCTTCCAGAAAATGAGGTGCCGCGTAAGCGAGTAAGCGAGAGTCATCCCTATCTGTGTAGGTGACCCAGATACTGAATGAATCACAGACGACTTGTGCATTGTCCCGGTTTTCCCCCGGAGTAGTGGAGAGATCTGCACCGCTTTCCATGTGAAAATAACCAGGTCAAGATAGAATTAACTCCGGGCCTCGGGAAATTTCTCCATTCTTCGTGATTTTTGGTGCAATCTGGGAACGGAACATTTTGACGTTCACGCGAATTTCTGGTCATCATCAGGCTGCCCTAGCTTATCTGGATGTGCCTGTACACGAAATTCCGCGTTGTCCAACAATCGTGGAGGTCATTGCATTCAACATAAAAGCGATACGGTAAAACCAGAGCGAAGATGATGAGAGCAATTGGGCGCAGACATCAAACATTGAAAGGCAAGCATTATATAGATGCAACGTTGACGATACAACGCTTCACCAGCCATGCAAAGCGAGCCCTGATATTCAAAAGAGTCCTTAATCGATACAACAGTAACAGAGGAGTTTTTCGTTGGCAATACCGCAGTACCGATTCTAGCTGGGAGTCTGGGGACGACAAGTCACAAGGACTATAACTCTTGTGAATCCCTCGATATGCAATCAACCAACTAGCACTAGCACTAGGACTTCCAAGCAAGAAACAAAGCAGGCCCTTCATCCTCGGATCCAGGTCACAGCAAATATCTAGTGGGTCTGAAACACATCGTATAGGCGTGTGGTGCAATCCCATAAAGGAGACACGGGGGTTAGTCAGGCAGCCACTAGGCGTGCCGCCGGCGTAGCAGTTAGGACCTGTGAGCGATGGTAGCAATGGTACGTAGAGGCCAGAGTCACTAAGCGCCCATCCGGATGCCACATGTCCAGACACTCCCTAGCGATACGGTGCCCCACATTTGTATGTCGAGAAAAGATGGAAATAAGAACGCCCACAAAGAATGTAGTGAGGCATATGTTGGAGAGGTAGCGCAGAAAAAATGAGAAACGCCACGCAAGTGACTGCCACGTGTAAGCGCTATCCGCGTCATCCACTCGCATACCCAGCAGAGCCTCTTAGAGCCAAAGCCAGCTAGCCGCATTGGGCGATGGGGCAGCCTCTGGGCCACAACAAGGTGAGTTCTCATCCCAGAGGTCCTTGCCCCCATAGTCACCTGAATGTTCCAAAGGCACGCATCCGAAAGCCCGGAGTAGAGTCAACTGAAGACTGCTTCCTTGCAGTGCCCATCGAGTGGGGATGCGGAGCACAGAAAAGAATAGACATTCCGCCAATGATCGAAACCTCTTTTTCCACCGAGGTTAGGAAAATAGTTGAGACAACGATGACCTATCCGGCACTGGTCGAGGGACATGAACATATAGCGACGAACTTACCATGCCTAAGAGAAAGCCTAAGTGAGGGAAGGGAGCGTCAAACGCGTGCAAGGTGACCATCCACATGGAAGCGACTCGCTAGTCTAAAGCTGAGCCTCCCAACGATGCTCGCCGAAAGTAGAAGACAGCCACCGGTGAACGCCTTCAAGTGTTAACGTAGCATGAGGCTCGAAACTCTGAGTGCGCTGTTGGATATTGGAGTGCGTACGTGATGGAAAGCCAGCAGCATTTGGAGGTCGAGGACCTGTTGAAGTCCACTCCCACCATCCCAAACCCAAGGGTGGGAGCGTATGTGGCAATCGGGAGGGGCAGCACCGCATAATCACCGTATGTGTGGGTGAGGAGAAGATAGGGGAGTGGGACGGTGTGATCGGAGTGCAAACGAGAGAAATATAGTAGGCACACGAGCCAGCGAGCCAGGCGGAATGCAAGGGACCCAAATGAGAGGCTATGACGTTGTGATGCCACCGGGTATGGATATGTAGACACCCCTTGGATACTAGCGTGTGACATAAGAACATAGAGGGGGCCATGGCGAACACCCACGCAAATTGTGGATTCACAACGTGCGTTAGAATCTCTGTCTACGGTGTTTACAACATGGATCCGTTTCCTGCTGATCAGAGCCTCCCCGTGAAGAAATAGTTAGCCTTGTGAAAGTGCCGCAAGAATCCAAAGAGGTAAGCAACATCTTCTCCTCAAGCAATTGCTGAAAGATCACCAAAATGGACGGAGAGTACTTATGATCTTTCAGTTCTGGTGTGAACATCCGGTTGGCTTTACAAGTTGAGCGATAGCGATCATTGGATATCATGTCGTCGCGAGGGAGAGCAGATGATCAGCGGCGCAGGAACTGTACTGCCACCACCATACCACACCCTAATTAGGCTTCATTCGGTATGAAGAAACAGGTTTCTTTAGCCTGTTTCTTCCAGTTTTTCAATTCAATATTTCTTTCTCATTTTTTCTACCTAAAGAAACACGCAATTTTTGTATTAAGAAACAGGAAGAAATAGACCAAAGAAACCTGTTTCCCCATACCGAACGAAGCCTAACGTCCTCCCCGTGTTCTGTTCTGAAGCCACATCCGCTCCAATGGCCGCCACCTTGTTTACCATTGCATTTACCGGAATTGCCCACGCGGCATCTATCCCGAACCTACCCGGGCCTCTGCCCCAGAACACAACCAACCTCTCGCTCAATACATCAGATGCGTGCGATAACCTTCGACATTGCCGCACGATGTGGAGTCTCATATACGGTTGTCTCCTGACCATCTTCGCCTGCGTCTGGACCGCTGTGCACCCCAAGGTGCCCGAGGCTGCTTGGGACGCTCAATCATCTCGGATATCCATGCAGTCGCTGCATTCCTTGCGCCAGAAATGACCCTTAGTGCAGCATGGAAAGAATTTCGAGCAGCTTGGAGAATATCGAAAAGTTGTCAAGGCACTGTCGAAGGTGTGCGCGCACTCATACATATGTGCTCATTGCATTGATTCTGATCTGTTCATTTTCGCACAAGGATGGACTCATACACACTCATATTTTGTTGTTATGAATGGTTTCTTCGACACCTCCGAGCAAAAATCGGTCATTCCCGGAAAAGATGACGAACCCTCTACTTTCCTCGAGCAATACCCTGGCATCATCGAGAAATCAGGGGATCACAGAAGAGCAGTAACGACCAGGGACGAAATACTCGACAGAAGTAAAGGAGACCCTTTCGCTAAATCTATCGTTGTCGCCCAGCTACTGTGGTTTATCGCCCAATATGTCGGACGATGGGCGGCTCATTTGCACAGGTCACAACTGGAAGCTATGACGCTTGCATATGCGGTCCTTAGCATCATTGTATATATCCTATGGTGGGACAAGCCCCTCAACATCCGTTTCCCAGTGCGTGTGACGAAGGAGACCAGTCCTGATGCTACCACTGCAACCCCCAGCCCCGAAGCCAAGGTCGAGCAGGACACGCCCAAAGTGGAGAACCAGCCAGATTCAACCTCTCCCCCAGCGAGGAGCGCGCCATCAAAGCAGCAGTTTTTCGTGTTTATAATGACTGCCATCATCTTTGGTGGAATACACTGCTTCGCTTGGTCATTCCACTTTCAGACACACGTGGAAATGCTTCTATGGCGGATTTCAGCCATAATCATTACAGTGTGCCCTATCCCTATCATCGTATGCTTAGGATTATCAGACTATTATGACTCCGACATCGCTGCGGCTTGTGGGACACCCGCTTTGATGATTTACACTGCTGCTCGGCTCATCTTGTTTACTCTTACGTTCACCTCTTTGCGTTTGCCTCCTCCCGACTTATACCAGACCGTTCCTTGGTCTTCCTTCCTGCCGCATCTTGGATAGAGGTATGTATCGCCTTTGTCAAATCATACGGGCGCCCAGCGTTGCTCATCGAGGCATACTAATTCAATTTCGATGACCGAAAAATTCTAGGTTTATACACATTGATGCCTCCGACTTCCTCCCATCTTGTAGTAATAGGAGCAAGCGTTGTTTTGTTTTGTTTTGCACTCGTGCTAGTTTGGAATGCAGCGAACTGTGGAACACCGTGAACTTACACAAAGATATACAACAGCTCAATTATCATTATGCCCTGCTACGACAATTGATCGTACAGCGATACTCTGGGACAGGAAATCATCATCCTTCATTGTCTAGCACATAATCGGCCAACCAGCGGGCCTGTGAATCATCATCATCCCCAACGGGATCCGGCCACATTTGAGCGATTTCATCTTCATAGAACGATTCCTGAGGTACGACAATGCTGACAAAGTCCTTAAATTCTTTCTGAATTCCTGCTGTTTCGAGTATGCCGTAGGTCTTAGACCCCGCGCCTCGGGCGGAGATCAAGTGGCGTTTATAAAAGTCCTTTTTGAGCTCTTTGGCTTGAACGTCTGCCTCCAACTCCTTCGAATGTTTTGTATTCTTGGAATCTTGTTCTCTATGCCGGGATAGGCCATCCAAAGCACGCTGGTACTCTTCCGTCAACCGTTTGTATTGGGAGGGCTGAGAATGCTGTGGAGGGGAGTGCTTGATTAACCCGCCTCCTCGGTGCCGGGACTCGGTACCAAGCTCCATCAGCAGGGCGAGATAAGGAAGTGGGTTTTTAGGATCACGGATGATTCCGACAGGTCGCAGATTGCCATTTCGGGCATCAGTATCCCCTTCTTTTGTCTTGTTCTTGACTTGAACGACGAGTCCCGACAGCTGGTCGCAATCGAAAATAGCTCCGGGTTCCACAGAGCCAAAATAAACTGGGCATAAGAAATCGATCGAGGTTTGATTGATGCAGCATTGCAATATGGCACCCCGAGCCCAGAGGTTAGAAAGTAATTTCCTGGGGGGGGGGGGGTGGCCCTCGGTATTAGCAAACATGTGAAGGGAAATGCAAGGAATAGCTACCGAGAAGGCGTTTCAGGTAAGACGTTCTTTGTGGCAGTCCAATGTGTAAAATTGACAAACGCATCACGGAAAGCCGTTTTGAGGCTCTGATCACACCAGTCGTTATTGCCGAAAAGGATTTGGAGGACATCTAACAGGCGAACAGGTTTCAGCAGATTGCGGTGTCTTTTCTTGTCGATTGGGGCCGTAAAGTCGCGTGCGGTGAGGAGAAGGAAGCGAGCAGCAAGTTCACCCATCGATCCCTTTTCGACCAAACCCGCAAGGCACAAATCCGTGCTCAAAGTCTCCAAGACAGAGGATAACCGTTCCTTGGGCGCATGAGGATGGTACAATAACCGTGCAGCGCCCAAAGCTAAAATTGGTTCCGATGGGGAATGAGTGTAAAGAATGGCGTTGCCGGCCGAGAGGCCTGTGAGAAGTCTCATATGATGGGAGACACTCCGCTCGGCCAACTCGGCGGCCCCAGTACTCATCAGAACAATATCGAGACAAAGCCGCTGTGAAAGCACGGCAAATACATGGTTCTTATTCGTGGCATCAAATCCTCCAACGTCAGCAGTGGTGAGCTTGTAAGCTGCAATGTTGATTAGTTCGTCCGAGCCTGACCTGGGCAGCATTGCGCGCCACCTAAGCAGAAGTCAAGTGAGTAGTTGTCCTTGTAATTTGGGGGGGGAAGGGACATACATAGGCCGCCCATATTGGCTGATATGCTCCAGTGTTTCGAAATGACCCATCTTGACGGGAGTGGAATTTTCGGCCTGCTCGCTCGCGTGCTGATCGAAACCAAGAGCAAAGTAGGGGGGCTCTAGTCGTCGTCGTTTCTCTCTGATTCTTGTGGGAAACACTGTGCGATAATAATGAGCCCTAGCCAGGGAACTTATGGTAAACACTCACCGTCTTGAGGACGAGGTGCAAGAGACGTTAATTTCGTCCCCATAAACACATACCACATTCTCACAGAATCGCTTTGGTTTTGCAATAAACCTAACATAAACCAGAGCCACATCCCCAACTCGTGAGCTTCGTCAAAGTATGTGATGCATAGCGGGTCAGGATCGCTTGTAAGAGTTTGGATAAAGCGGATAAGGTTCTCAACAGCCTTCTTCGCATCCTTCTCGTAATAGATCCTGGCCAGCGCGATCGGGCCACCCTTTTCACCTTTAGATTCATCGAGCTTGGGATACTTCCTTGGTTCTACACCGTACTTTTTCTGTAGCTAAACCAATCGTCAATTCCAATAGAGCCAATAGAGAAAGGTCAAGAACAGGATTTACTTCTTTGGCTCGTTCTATCACTCTTTCGAAGAACTTCACCCGAAAACTTCTTATACCCTTGCCCTCCATTCCCTGGTGCCAACGGCCAAGGACCTCTTTCCTTGTGCAATTCCCCTCACCAAGAATACCTTCGAGCGAGGCTAACATGGTCTCATGTGCAGCTGCAAAGAAACCAGCGATACCCGAAACTGCGCCGATGCTCGAGTAATTATGAGTCTTGAGCTCATCAAAATAGTTATACACGGGCCTGTCCGCTAACGGGTAACCTAAACTGCCCGGTGGACGAAGACATATAGGGAGTGTAAAGATTCGTGAACCAACCTAGAGCAAAAAAATGATCATATTTCCTTTCAGGATCGGGGAGGACAAACACACCTCCGTCAGCATTCGTGATTTCCCAGTCCCAGAACTTTGGACAATGGAGATGGATTTAGCATAACGTAGTTCGTTGAGGTTGCTCTCCTCCCGGTCGATTCGGTCAAGATGCCTGATGAAAGAGAGAGGCGCACTGCCAATAAATCGTACACGGTATGCGGCAGCAAGATCTGCCAGTGACGACTCATCAGAATCCTGGAGAACAATGCGATTCTCAGACTCGCCTTTTTCGACCTCGAGCCTGTAAACAGAGATTATACGTAAGTATGGAATGAGGTCGACGCTGAACAAGCGTACTCATTGTAATAGTAATGAAGGAATCTCCCATTGGGTTCTGCGAGTCGTAGTTTCACATACGCTAAATCATCGATTAATGATCATCAGCGCCCGATGGAGTGCTGGTTGGTACGCACCATATCTGATCAAGGGATCCCATTTCCTCTGTCTGAGAGCGTCTGCGATCAGATCCTTACATTCTGTGCGCTCAACATCGCCGAGACTTTCCACGATCGACGCCAGCTTGGTTTCTGGAATGACTTTCACATCCGCCTTTGCCAGGCACATTGAAAGACGGGACAGAATGCCACAAAAGAGTCCACTCCACGCCTTATGGTCTGCCATGCCCTCAGCCTGCTCTAGGGCATGTTCCCAGCATAGATGAGAGTTCTTGCTGAGCTGAATGACCTTTTCTACTTGATCGTCACGTAGTATGGGGCGTCTTTCACCCAATAATGTGGAAGAATATTGAACATCTCCCATCTTCTCGTCCGGGGGCATCGTTGGGCCTAGACAAGACTCCTGGGTTTATGACTTTGTGTGTGTTGACCCTATGAGAGTGAAAGTACGTCCGAACCGTTACGGGAAGTCTCAAACCTAGATGAAAATAGGTATTGGTCTCTAAACCTGGTTGTAATCATTTGTCAAGAGCACACTCCGCTTGTGGAGTAATCCGGAACAGAACCTCTATAGATAGTAAATCGGGAAGTGAATGTCAATTAGTGGCTTCAGCATGTGAGAGAGGCCCTTCATTCAATCGGCTAGCGTGAGAAGCAAATATTCTTAGAAATCAATGTCTTGGCAAGTGTCTACCAAGGCGCATGTCCCGGGAAATTAATTCCCCATATGACATGCAAGTGTAATGCCACTTTGCGGCTTTTCCGGTGATTGGCATTCGGAACTCTAGCTGAAATGGTAGTAATAGTAAGCCTGCGGCGGCAGAGTGTACGAGCATTCTTCCGCGGAGCTATAATTTCGAGCCTGAGCGTTGCAGTGCTGATCGGACCCTGGCAACGTGTCCGCACGCCGACAAGTCCCAGGCCCTGCCATATTCTTCCTTGGTGGAGCGGTAAATGTTGCTTTTGCTTGGCTCAGATTTTTCGAATAACTCTATCTGCTCCAGCAGATGATCCCCTCTCTACTTTCACTAGTATATAGAGGCTGGGCTCTGCAGGCTGCCTAGCTAGCTAGATCGCCTCCTCATTATCGGTATGGTCTCGAAAATCTCTTGGTCCATTGCTCAAGGGGAAAGTTGTCAGAGCATTCATTCCTATTGCCGTACCCACACTGTTATACAGTAACCTACACAGCGTCGAGTGCCACGATGCAACACATAGCCCCCCCGTGCCACGTTCCTGCCATCTTCCTATACTTCTTTTCACAGCACTCCATCCAATCTACAATCAGCATCCTGCTTTTATTTGCACGCCTACATCATTTATCCAGCCCAGACTATTGGCGTACTCCGATGCGAGCGTTACGGAGGGCAAGTCCTTCAATGTCTACTAGTAGGGTGGACGGGGCTACTAGTAGAGTAGAGCCTGCGACGCACAAGGCCCAAGACTAGTTCATTCATTCGATGGCGCGGAGAAGTTGGATGGTGTTCCCTTTTTGTCAATGCACAGTCACGTAAGTAGCATTCCTCAATATCGAAGTTGATTCCAGTGCAACCAAAGATTCGCCGCAGCTCATGGACACACGCACAAATTTCGACAGGCCAGCCATATTCCCCATTAATTCACATCGCGCACTGCTGCTGTGTCCGTATTCCGGATTTCGGACTTGATGCATTGGACATGGAATGGGGCCTTAATACTGTACGATGACTTGGCGTTCTGGTTCTTTCTTGTCTCAAGCCTTTCTGCACAGGAATGATGTCGTATCACGGCGTTCCAGCCTTTTTCCGATTTTGACTCCGTCTCATCCCGTTCTTGCAAGTCCACTCTCACACTGTCTTCATTGAGGCTTTGAACGGGTATTTTGGTCTTTGTTTCAACTCAGCCTCCCAATCTATCATCCGAACTTAATTTGAGCCACTAGATGATCACGGCGACGAACTCACACTACTGAGCTGGCAGTCAACCAATATATATTCACTCAGCCATTGCACATTAGATCTAGCGCTTCCTATATATAGCTCTATTACCTCCAGACTATCTGGCTTGGCCTTAGAAGGAGTGGCCTTCCATGCTGACCCTGCGACGGCGAAGGATGTAGGGAGTTGATGGGTGGCTAGTTAAAAAGGAGGTAGGCAGTGCATTATAATAGACTGTTCTTGTTATGCAGAGCGACGATGCTATGTGTCTACGATTATGTCATCCTAGGTGGGGGATGAAAGACGTCCAGGATATAGTTCGGTAAAGAGCGGCGGGTGGAGATTGCAAAGACGTAAATGTGAGAGTGAACAGGATAATCCGAGCAATAGCATAAAAAAGCATGGAGAGACTTAAAAGGAACTCGCTTGTGCCTTCATCCTTTTCCAGTCTTTCAATGGCCCATGCTGAAGCGCCAGGGCTCACAGTCATAATTATCGCAGATATGCGCCACAAAAGTTTCTCCGCATGCGTCGGAAATAGAAATGACCATGCAAGGCAATGAACCCCACCAAAAATGATACCAGTAACTAAAAATATCCATGTGGGACTTGTCTCCATGAGCTTCGCTGCAGGGGAAGTTGGATTTGACGTGTTCTCTGTTTTGGGCAGTGCTGGATCAGCGACGGCATCGGAATTTGAGGGATTGGGCTCAGTCTCTTCCGTTACATGGATTGGGAAATGGACGTCCAGTGGTTTATGCCACCACAAAGCACAAACAAGGATGCTAAGTGCCGCATAGGCAACAGTCATCGTTTCCAGAAGTGACCTGGGTAGATGGCCTGCCCACCGTCCAACATACTGGGTTGTGAACCACAGTAACTGGAGCACGACAATGGACTTTGCAAAAAAGTTGCCTTTGCTTCTGTCGAGGATCTGCTCCCTACTTACTGCGACCTCTCTGTGATCTCCCGACCTCGCAATTATACCAGGGTATTTCACAAAGAGCGTAGAAGGGTCTTCATTTCCATCTAGCTTCACTGCTTTTCGTTTGGAGGAGTCGAAGAAGCCACCCATAATAACAAAATATGAATGGGTGAATGACCATCCTTGTAAAAAAAATCGATGTTCAGAATTCAACTGAATTGAGTCATTCAGCGCAAACCTTTGATTCCAGCACACCTTGTTGATATTCTCCAAGCTACGGAGAACTCTCTCCATGCAGCCGAAACCAACAGCTCCGGAAAAATCAACATACAAATCATATCAACCTTACGAGAACCCTCCCCAAACGACCAAGCCGAATATTGCTTAGGCACATCTGGATGGATTGCTGTCCACATGCAAGCGATCATCGTAAGGAGGCAGCTGTACACTATGCTCCACATAGTCCGACAGTTACGCAGATCGTTACACGCATCCGAGTAATTTATGGAGAAAGCTGTACTGTTGGGTGGTGGATGTCCACAGATCTGAGGTGTAGGTGCGGCATAGATGCTTTGGGTGAGGATAAAGCTGACGAGAGCGGCTGCCATTGTAACGTAGATGATGCAGGTACAATGACGATTTGGATACCCAGTTTGTGAGTTTTATACCCCCACCGGGACGAGGCAGTGTAGTACTTTGTCAAATACCCGGCTTAGCTGAACAAACGCGCGTTCGTAGGATTCCAAAAAAATTGCAAAAGGATATAGACGCTCTGGGAAGCTGCGCGTCCGATTTTGGATAAGGAACACAATTCATTGACTCTTTAGGAAACAGTAGTGCTTTTGCAATAATTACGTGACCCTTTTGGCTCATCATCCAAATGGGACGTGCAGATTTTTTTTTGTCCCTCAACTGCAAGCCAGCAAATGGAATGGGGCGTTCAGTAAGCAAGGGAACGGTACCAAGGATGTGAGATGTATTCAAGTCGTTCTGTACTTAATTTATCTAGAAAGGTAATGAGAGAGTAAAATCCCAGCGCGCGTGCGTGTGCCCTCTCGGAATGAGTTGCTGAATGTGATATGCACTGGCATGGCCTTGAGTCGAAGTACTTAAGTTTCCAAGGAACCGTCAGAGAGAACTCAAAAGCCACAGGAGTACAATTTGTTCAGTTGATGCGGTGCTTGGAATCCCTTGATGGACCCTGCAACGGTGAAGGATGTAGGGAGTTGATGAGTAGTGCATTTGTGTCTGAATAATAGACTGTTCTTGTTATGCAAAGCTATGGTGTCTACGATCATGTCATCCTAGGTGGGGTATGAAAGATGTCCAGGATATAGTTCGGTAAAGAGTGGGGGGCGGAGACCGCAAGGACGTAAACGTGAGAGTGAACAGGATAATCCGAGCAAAAGGATAAAGAGCCAGGGGGAGACCTCCAAAGAATCCAATTATATCTTCAGCGTATTCCTGTCTTACGTAGCTCCACGCTAAAGAGCCAGGGCCCAGAGTAATAATTATCGCAGATATGCGCCACAAAAGTTTCTCCGCACGCGTCGGAAATGGAAATGACCACGCGAGGCAATGAATACCACCAAAAATGATACCAGTGACTGCGAGTATCCATAAGGAAGTTGTCTCTAGAGTCTCCGCTGGAGGGGAAGTCGGATTGGACGCGTTCTCCATTTTAGGCATCACTTGATCAGCGATGGCTTCGGAATTTTGGGGATCGGGGTGAGTCTCCTCCGTTACAGGGATTGGGAAATGGACATCCAGCGGTTTATGCCACCACAGAGCATAGATGAGGATACTAAGTGCCGCATAGGCAAGAGTCATCGTTTCCAGTTGTGACCTGGGTAGATGACTTGCCCACCGTCCAGCATACTGAGTGGTGAACCACAGTAACTGGAGCACGACAACTGACTTTGCAAGAAAGTCGCCTTTACTTCTGTCGAGGATCTGTTCCCTTGTTATTGCAACCTTTCTATCGTCTCCCGACTTGTGGATTATGCCGGGGTATTTCTCAAACAGAGTACAAGGATCTTCGTTTCCATCTGGCTCCACTACCTCTTGTGTGAAATAGTCGAAGAAGCCACCCATGTTAACAAAATATGAATGGGTGAGTGTCCATCCTTGTGAAAGAATCGACATCAGGTTTCAGAGCTTTTTTGCCATTCGAACACAAACCTTTAATTCCAGCACACTTTTTTGACATTCTCCGAGCCATGGAGAAGTCTTCCCATGCAGCCGCAACAATCATCTCCGGCAAAACTAACGTCAAAATCATTTGAGTGCGGCGGGAACCGGTTTGGGGCGACCAAGCCGAATACTGCTTAGGCACTCCTGGATGCATGGCTGTCCAGACGCAAGCGAATATCGTAAGGAGGCAACTGTACACCATGCTCCACATAGTCTGACAGGTGCGTAGATCGTTACAAGCATCCGAGTAATTTATGGAGAGAGCTGTACTGTTGTTGGGTGGGGGATGTTGACAGATCTGAGGTGCATCAGGTGCAGCATAGATGCTTTGGGTGAGGATAAAGCTGACGAGAGCAGCTGCCATTGTAACGTAGATGATGCAGGTACAATGAAGATTTGGACACCCAGTTTGTGAGTTTTATACCCCCACTGTGTGAGGTCTTAGGGTTGCTCAGCACACAAGGCTGTAAGTGATACAAGATAGTGTATTTTACGGTGGTGTGTAAGCGGTTACCCGGAGGTTCCCGCTTGCCCACGTGACTATCATCAGCAAAAGTCCGTTATGCTCCGGAGCATCAGGAGTGGCTGGAGCATGTGGGAGACAAAACAGCAGATTGGGCACTCCTGGAGCCAATAGTGTTCTCCTGGGAGGGGGTTCAGGAGCGGCTGGGAGTGGTGAGGAGTATGCAATGTGCCAGGAGCAGTGGGAGGAAAATTTTGGTCTCTAAAAGTTGAAAAAAAAAATTTAGGGAAAAAAATCAAAAAAAATTCAGGAACTATAGTGCCTTTAAAGTGCTTTCAGGACATATAATTATTTGCGAAATTGAGGAAGAAATGATGGAGAAAAATGGAAAATACTTTTGGAGACCCGAGAAGTAATGAGAACTGAATTGATGGGAAAGTCTGAAAATTGAATAGGAAAGTGAGGGGAAGCCTTGTAGCATTGTTATTTTCTGCTGTTGTGATTTTTCCTGATTGTTCTTGGTCTCACTCCCAGCTGCTCCTGGACCCTCCCAGGAGCTTTCAGGAGCTTCCAGGAGTATTGAGGAGCAGCTGGGAATGAGACCAAGAAGAATCAGGAAAAATCACAACAGCAGAAAATAACAATGCTACAAGGCTTCCCCTCACTTTCCCATTCAATTTTCAGACTTTCCCTTCAATTCAGTTCTCATTATTTCTTGGGTCCCCGAAAGTATTTTCCATTAGCTGCTCCTGGACCCTCCCAGGAGCTTCCAGGAGTATCCAGGAGTACCCAGGAGCAGCTGGGAGTGAGACCAAGAAGAATCAGGAAAAATTAGAACAGCAGAAAATAACAATGCTACAAGGCTTCCCCTCACTTTCCCATTCAATTTTCAGACTTTCCCATCAATTCAGTTCTCATTATTTCTCGGGTCTCCAAAAGTATTTTCCATTTTTCTCCATCATTTCTTCCTCAATTTCGCAAATAATTATATATCCTGAAAGCACTTCAAAGGCACTACAGTTCCTGAATTTTTTTTGATTTTTTCCCTAATTATTTTTAGAAGTCCCTATTTTTCAAAATTTCCTCATTTCCCTCTATATTCCCCCCTCATTCTCCCCCTCATTCTCCCCCTCATTCTCCCCCTCATTTCCCCCTCATTTCCCCCCTCATTTCCCCCTCATTCTCCCCCATTTCCCCCTCCTCCATATTCTGCAAGTCCGAAAGTGATTAAGTTGCCAGATTAATCATATATCAGGCCATAAATTTTGACTGTGTATTGGTGAGTCTCAGTGTCCTTGATGTATAGTATAGTGTTTGATCTAAATGTTAAGTAGTGTCTTGTTGTGTTAGTCTTGTGGTAGGAGGTATTCATGGGGAGTCTTCCCTCTTTTTTTTTCCTTTTCATTTTCAAATGCTCCAGGAGCTCCCAGAAGCTTCTCACCCCTATACATTTTGAAGCATTAAATTGTATTTACTGGATATGTTTGTGCACAAAGCAATGCTCCATGCCCTCCTGGGAGTGCCCTGGAGTACCTGACCAACTCCGGAGGAAATGAGCTGTTCCTGGACCGGCCAATCTCCTCCTGATTCTCCCAGTGCTCCCCATACTCCGGAGCACTCAGGAGCATAACAATTTTTTGCTGATGATGTGTATCTAATTTACATGTGACTCGGGGTTCGGGGCTATTGCCCTGACATTCTCCCCCCTTGCGTTGCATTTGCGACGCATACAAGGTTGATAGTAAAATAAAACAGGGTTTTTTAATAGTTGATTTACATTGAGTTTGGAATTATCAATGAGTGTTTTGTTATCGCCACTTTAAAGTGGGCGATTTTGTACATGTCGGTGAAAGGAAGAGAGGGGGTTTAAGGAATGAATGAGTGTGGGCCGTTACTTTGAAGTGAACAGCGATACATTGGTATCGCAGGGAGAGAGGAAAGAAATGGTGGAGTTTGTCGAAAATGGATTTCGACCCAAAGGTTGTATGTCTTTGGTGTTCCTCACTTGTTCTGTGAGGGTTCGTGTGTAAGTGGTGTTTACACATGAGTGGTGGTGGATGTGGGTCTTTTGACGGAGTTGAGATTTCCACAATTGTTACTTGCAGTTCCTCGCATACAGTATTGTGTGCGGGGCCTCGAGTTGGGGGAAGGTGTTTTCATGGGCACCTTGATGGCATATTACCGTGTCACTTTCCCTTCTCTCAAGGGTGGGTTCATTGCCCCGGAGGAGGGTTTTCCTCCAGGTTGTTCATCTGGACATCCGATTGCTGCATCAGATGCGATGACGTAGCCTGGGCTACATTGTCAGGCTGTGGGCTCGACGAAGTGGGTGCTCCCTGGGTGGGAGCGGGCTGTTGTGTTCCTGAGCTGCTTGGCTCAGGTGTAGAGTACAGTAGGTCTACCGTTCTTCCCGTGGGGAAGGATGGTCGTTGGGCTGGTTGTCCAGCACAGAGACTTGCATCTCTTTCCCGGTATTTGGAAGCTTTTGCTTCCCGTTCTGCAGTTCTTGTGGCACGTTCCTCAGGAGTCCTGAGTGGTTTGAACTGGGACTTTAAGTAGGCAGCTTTGCCTAGGCTTTCCCAGGAGATTTTCCCCTTATTCTCTGGGGAATTATATTCCTCCACGAGTCTTGCGATACTCGGGAGTCCCAAGAAGTATTTCTCGGTTTCCTTCGCTTTTTCGCGAAGGACTCTGTGTACCTTGCCGCTTTTGAAGGCGGCTTTGGCCTGTTCGTACCAGTGTACGAATTCTTTCCCACTTACGCTTGTCCACCAAGCGTATGCGGCGTCATGCGGTGCTTCTGACCCCACTATTCTCCTCATGGGGAAGTTGGGGTCGATTGTTATGTTGACTGGAGCTTTGACTTTGCCAAACTCGTTGAATTCAGCAGTCTCGTATAGCATGTGGACACTTCCCTGCAGGGTAGCTTGCCCATAGGGTGCTGAGGTACTCAGTGGCCCGCTGCCTCTGGCAGTGGTCCCCATTTTAGGGTCTGCCTACCGCTCTCCCTCTTCCCCTCGACATGGGTTTGCCCCTCTGAGGGCGGGCCCTTATGCAACCTGGACAGGGTTGCCTGCCCACGGGGTGGCGGGATAGTCGGTGCCCCACCCCTTGATGCGCTAGTCCCCATGTGGGGTCGCGCCTCATGAGGCCCGGAACCGTATCCCCTCCCCCTGACCTGGGAGGCCCCCATCATGATGGGTTTGGCAGCGAGGTCTGCCAGTGCGTGTGCCTCTCTGAGCTCGCGTTTCAGTAATTCGATCTCTCTTTTTTGGAGATCAACTTCTCTCTCTGTGTCTTTCAGAGAGTCAAAGATGCCCTCAGCATCTCTTCATGCTCTGTTGTATTTGCGCCTCCAGTGGGTGCAATGGTTGCAGGCGTCTTCTGATGCCCTCGAGTTATCAGACCATGCCTGTTTGGACGGTCTGGATGAGGAGCCGCTGTCGCTCCCTCGTCTCCCTCCTACGAGGGACTTCATCTCTTTCAGCTCCTCACGGAGCTGACCTGTCTGAGCAGCTACCGCTGACGCGATGGCTGATTCCCAGCCTGCATTTGGCTGGGGCGTTGTTGGACCTGGGCCGAATTGGCTAATCCAGGGGTTGATCTGGCCAGGGAAGTTCCCTGGGGAGTATGCCTGGGGCTGCAGCAGCAAATGCTGCCCCTGGAATGGCGCTTGTTGCGCCATCGGTGCAGTTTGCACCACGTATGGTTGGAAGCCTCTTTGGGGAGGCTGGGGGTATGCGGTGCCTGTTAGCAACGCGGATGGTTGTTGGTTCGCAGCACTCATTTGTGCTGCGTGCGTTGTGTAATCCATGGCGCTTATCTGCACCTGGTGTTGTTGTTGTTCCGGGGAGCCTTGCTCCCTGGGTTGTCGTATTTCGATATCTGGCGGTTTGTTTGGATTGAACCGAGGGTTGCCTCCCCCAGAGAATGACATTTCGTCGTTATGTTACTCATGGTGGTGGGAGGGGTTTTCGTTCTTTCATGCGTGGGATTTGCCGCAGTTGTGTGTTCTTTTTGCATGTGAGCCTGTGGTTCACGTGGTCTAGGCGAGTTGCTCGCCTAGCCCATGTGATCTCTAGTACATGGTGTGGCTGTCCGGGCAAGTTACTCGCCCAGAACTTTCCCATGCTCTTGGCTGTGGGCCATCGTCCCTCAGCTTTACTTCCTCCGCCTCCGTTTTTGGGGGCGTAATGATGCCGAGAGTTCCCTGTCTTCTTTGATAGGGAGTTTTTCTGGTTCCCTTTCATTTTGTAAGGTGAGGTACTTGTCCAGGTGGACGAGGTCGTTGCAATTTCCTAGGGGTTCCCATGTGGTGTCCCCTAGTTCCCATTTAACCTTAAACCAGAGTTCGTTGTGAACCCATGCGTGGTTTAGGATTTCGCAAACTACTGCTTTGCGATTGGGGTCTTCCCCAAAGTCGTAGAATATGTTTACTTCCCTATTTGGGAAGATTTCCTGGTCATTCGGCTCGTGGGGTGCGAGCCGGGATACATGGAATCTTGGGTGGATTCCACGTTGTTCAAGTTGTGGTGGCAACTTGAGGACGTAGTTTGACGTTTCTGGAAATGTTTCCAGAATTTCGTAAGGCCCTATGTATAAGGGCTTTAGTTTTCCTGCCCTGCCTTTGGGTAGGTTCAGCTTATCCATGGATAAGTATGCAAGCTCGCCTTTTTTCAAAGGCGGGTCCGGGCATCTTTTCTTATTCACCTGGATTGTTTGAGCAGCGCGATTATGTATTATCGCGTCGTGTGCTGCCATGAGGTTTTCCTTCGCTTTTTGAGCGAAGTCATTTACTCCCAGGTAGTCCGAGAGTGGTGCTGTTAGGCACATCTTTGGCATATGGCCGTAGATTAATTCGAACGGGGCAAATCCTGTCGATGTGTTTGAGCTCGCATTGA